GCGGGTGTGACCTCTCCGCCGCCTGGGTTTGCCCGGCATTCGGCTTCCTGACCGTTCCCGCCGACGGAGACGAGTGTGACCTCTCCGCCGCCTGGGTTTGCCCGGCACTCGGCTTTCTCACCGCGCACGCCGACGGAGACGGGTCTGACCTCTCCGCCGACTGGGTTTGCCCGGCACTCGGCTTCCGCGCACCGCCGTATTCTGCAATCGCGACACGCTCGCCGACCGAAACCGCGACCGTCTAGGCAAGTTTATTGTAATCGTCCGTAGGTTAAGCTAGAGGAATAGTTACTGGCGTAGAATAAGTTAGGTATAAGCTCCGCGTAAAATAAGTTAGGTATAAGCTCTGCGTAAGTTAAGTTAATCTGGATAAACTATCTACCAATAAAGACCTGTTGATTATCAAAGAGGATTCGTACGCTTGACTCTCCTACCTACTCCCGAATCTTGGCACCGGCGAGCCAGTCCGTGGCGCACGGGATAGGCCGTACCACTACATGGCGTCCGAACAGGGACCGTCTAAGGAGAGTCCAGCTAGCGAAAAGCCTCATGACTGCGTGGATTAATAACCTTTCCAAAGAACAGCTTGTAGAATATCTCCATCGGTACGAAGTGGATACCACAGGCCAGGTGAACTTGCTGAGACGCCGATTACGCCTGTACTTCGCCGCCCACCCGTCCGACAACCCGAGGAACAACAACAGTGACGTACCAGAAGAGACCGCGACCATGCCCGCCTTGAGCCCAACGGAACGCATCGAGATCATCAACCAGATCCGGAAATGGGGCCACCGTTTCGAAGGAGTGGATCCACTCTCATTCCTAGAGAGAGTTGAAGAGCTAAGAGTCAGTTATGGCCTCGAAGAGGACCACTTACTCTTGGGCCTACCGGAATTGCTAAAAGGAGATGCCCTCTTATGGTATCGAAACCACCACGATACCTGGGGAACTTGGGCCAGTTTCTGCGAACAGTTCCGGGATTACTACCTGCCGCCGGGACCTGAGGCAACTAAAGCGAGAAGTCAACGGACGCTCCCAAAAGCCGGGGGAGTCGTTCCGCGAATACTCCAATGCGCTTCTCACCATGATGCGCCGAGCTGGGGGATACTCCGAGCGAGAACAGCTGGAGCAAATCTACGAGAACATGAATCCCGAGCACCAGCTCTATGTCCCGCTCACCGATCAGCTCACCATGAGCGAACTCTGGACCCGGATATCTAAGATTGAGGAAATCAACCACCGTCGACAGGATCAAACCCTAACGACCGCCAAACCATCAGTCGCCGCCGTCACCTACATCCGGGAGGAGTGCTGCTGGAGATGTAAGCAGCGAGGCCACACTCGAAGGGATTGTAAGCGGCCACCAAGAAAATTCTGCTCGCGATGCGGCAAAGATGGTGTCCTGACTCGCGACTGCCACCCGCCGACGGGAAACGCCCAACAGGCCGGAGACGTTGCGGCCGTCTCCCAGCTCAGCCTCGAATAGAATACCGTCCGCGCCCGCACCTCCAAGTACACATCCGGCGACAGCCGTTTGCGGCTCTCATAGACCCCGGATCTGAAGTCTCGTGCATACAGGAAGAGACTGCACGACTATTCCCCGGAATACCCCGACTAGCCCAGAACCGAGGAGACTACGTCCTCCTGGCCGATAACACACGGGTAGGGGTCACTGGGGTATTGCGCCTGCCTCTCCGATGGCATGGGAGAACCTATTGGCACGACTTCTGCATACTCCCTGGGCTAGCTAGCGCTGTGCTGATTGGTACCGACCTATGGGCTAAGATGGGATTCACTTTGCCGCCACCGCCGTTGAACCAGACCGGGACGGTTTCCCGGACCAACACGATCACCGTCGGACCAAACAACGAAGCAAACGAAGAAGCGCAACTCCGGGACTTTCTAGCCGCTGAGTTACCATTGTTTGAAGTAATCACGGGACGAACCGACCGAGCCGAACATCGCATCCGGCTAAAGCCTGGACCGCCCATCAAACAGCGGTACCGACATCGAAACCCGGCCATGCAGGCCGTCATCAATGAGGAGGTCGACCGAATGCTCGCCGAAGGCGTCATCGAGCCCTCGAGCAGCGCTTGGAGCTCACCGATAGTCAATGTTCGGAAGAAAGATGGGCAGTATAGATTCTGCATCGATTTCCGCAGGCTGAATGCAATGTCAGATAAAGACGCCTATCCCTTGCCGCACATCACGGCTACGCTCGACAAGTTACGCGGGGCGAAATACCTGACAACATTAGATCTAAAGAGTGGTTACTGGCAGATAACACTGAACCAAGGGAGTCGACCTGCAACCGCCTTCACCGTACCAGGGAAGGGTTTGTACCAATTCACGGTCATGCCTTTCGGGTTGCACTCGGCCCCGGCGACCTTCCAGCGGTTGCTAGACACAGTGATCGGCCCCGACCTCGAACCTAACGTCCTTGTATACTTGGACGATATAATAATCGCCAGCAAGACGTTCAGCGACCACCTGCAACACTTGAGAGAGGTATTCCGGCGACTACGCGAAGCAAAGCTACGCTTAAACCCGGATAAGTGCCACTTCTGCCGTCCGAGCCTCCGCTACCTAGGACATGTGATTAATCGACAAGGGATACACACGGACCCACACAAAGTGAGCGCCATCACCGGTTGGCCAACTCCCACCACCGTGCGCAAGGTCCGGCAATTTTTAGGAATGGCCTCGTGGTATCGACGGTTCATCCCGAATTTTTCGACACTAGCGGCGCCGCTTACAGCGCTGACCAGAAAACGAGCTGGCTGGACATGGGGGACCCCCGAAGACGCAGCCTTTCAACAACTGAAGGACGCATTGACCTCCACACCGGTTCTGGCCTGCCCGGACTTTCAGAAACCGTTCCTGCTACAAACCGATGCCAGTTCACATGGGCTAGGAGCCGTGCTAACGCAGCACCAGACGGAGGGAGAGCGAGTAATCGCATACGCCAGCCGAACGCTCAACGGTGCCGAGCGGAACTACAGTGCGACCGAGTTGGAATGTCTCGCCGTGGTATGGGGAATCCGGCGAATGCGAGACTACTTGGAGGGGTATCGATTCACCGTCGTAACAGATCACCAGTCCCTCAAGTGGTTGCAACATCTGGAAAACCCGTCCGGACGCCTGGGGCGGTGGCTCTTCGAACTGCAACAGTTCGACTTCACCATACACTATAGAAGAGGGGGACAAAATCAAGTAGCCGATGCCCTCTCCCGGGAGTCGCAGCTCAACGCAATGCAACACCGGATAGCGTGTCCATGGTACCAACGCCTCCTCAGAGAAGTAAAGAGCCGACCAGACGAGTACCCCGATTACGAGATACGTGACGGCCAACTGTTTCGACATGTGCTACACGACCTGGATTTTAGCGAGGTACCCTCCACCGAGCAATGGAAACAATGCGTCCCTCGGGAACAGCGGCTCGACATCCTACGCCGGCTACACGACGACCCAACCGCAGGGCATCTAGGAGTGGCTAAGACCATCGCCCGACTCGCCCGGTTGTACCACTGGCCGGGGATGTTCCGGGAGACAGCCCGGTACGTTCGGAGCTGTCCGAGCTGCCTAGCCCACAAGGTACCGCAACAACGACCAGCCGGGAATCTACACGCTACCCCAGTCACCGCCCCGTGGCAGCAAGTCTCAGTGGATCTAGTCGGTCCTCTGCCACGCTCGGTCCGTGGACATGTCTGGCTCCTGACCGCCCAGGACCGGTTCAGCAAATGGGTCGAGATGGTTCCCCTGCGACGCGCCACCGCCACGGCACTGGCGAAAGAAGTGACCCGCCGCATCATCTACCGACATGGATGCCCGGGCCAACTCATCTCGGACAACGGGACTCAGTTCACCTCCCGCCAGTTCCGTACCTTGCTGGCGTCATTCGGGATCCAGCACCGCACGTCACCTGTCTACGCGCCGCATTGCAATCCGGTGGAGAGGGCGAATCGGACCATCAAGACCATGATTAGTCAATACGTGGGCGACCAGCACCGGGATTGGGACGAGCACATTGACGCGTTGCAGTTCGCGGTGAACACCGCTCGACACGAGGCCACCGGATACACCCCGGCCTTTCTGCTCCACGGCCGCGAACTGGCACCTCCCCATCCTGCCGAGCGACAACCAACGCCGAACTCGACTTCCCCGGAGTCGCATCGACAACGCCTGGAAGAGGCCTATGAGGTCGCCAGGGTGCACCTAGCCCGAGCCTTTCAAAAACAGGAGCGCCATTATAACATGAGGCGACGCGACTGGCGCCCCCGGGTGGGCGACAAGGTTTGGAAGCGAGAACGCCCCCTGTCCAGCCGCGACGACGCGTTTAACGCCAAACTCGCCCCTCGATTTTCGGGGCCCATGGAAGTACGCAGAATAATATCCCCAGTCATCGTGGATCTACGCGACGAACACGGGAAATGGCATCGGCATATCCACGTACAGGACCTGAAACCGCAACCGAACATACCAGAAAGCCCTCGGGTGGACGAGGATGACGCATAATCCGGCAAAAAGTTACCGACCACGCCGAAGTACCGCCACTTTGGAGCATTCGGACGAACTCCGTTGCTAGGGAATTTCCCTTAGAACCACGGACCACCTACTGCCCGACCTGCGGCCGCCGGACCATCTACTGCCCGACCTGCGGATGGCGGACCGCATATTGCCCGACCTACGACCGCCGGTCCAGCTACTGCCCGACCTACGACCGCCGGTCCAGCTACTGCCCGACCTACGACCGCCGGTCCAGCTACTGCCCGACCTACGACCGCCGGTCCAACTACTGACCGGCCTACGAACGCCGGATCACATACTGCCCGGCCTACGACCGCCGGCGCAGCGACTACCCGACCTGTGACGGGACTCCGCTACTTCCCCTGGAACCACGAGACACCCCAAGCCATCGGAAATTCCGCGAACAAATCCCCTCCAGGAGCAGCGCAGAGGGTATATAAGGCCGTGCAACCCCGCACGGAGTAACAGTCGCTATGAACCGACACGAGATGGACGAACTCTTCGGAGAAATAAGTTCGAGCTCGGAGTCCGAAGCGAGCGGACCTACTCTCGCACCACCGACCACGACGCCGCCGACGCCTGCTCCCGCCGAGTCGCCTCCTGCAACCCCGAGTCCGGGACGGCCGCGACGTCCGCCGCGCCCGGGAACGTCGGTCCAGCGATCCGACCGGACCAACCAACGGAAGGCCGTCCTCCTGGCCACACCACCGGAGGTAAAGCCGCGCCACCGCGGAAGGGTCGCCGCCATGGTCAAGCCTCGACCTGACACCAGCCGTCCACCAGCTGCCAGGACCAGCAAGGCCTCGACATCCAGGCCACCGACCGCCGGACCGCGCTCTTCCACCAGAGCCCCGATGACCCGGCCTGCGAACATCGGTCCGCCGACTACCCGGCCCACGACCGCCGGCCCAGCGACTGCCCGACCTACGACCATCGGACCGCCTACCGCTCGGCCTGCAAACCTCGGGCCACGTACTACCCAGCCTGCGACCGTCGGACCGCCTACCGCCCGGCCTGCGAATATCGGCCCGCCGACTACCCGGCCCACGACCGCCGGCCCAGCGATTACCCGACCGTTGGATCGCCCACCGCCCGGCCTGCAACCACCGGACCATCCACGCCCGCCGGACCCCCCGCCACCCGACCGGCCACCACCCGACCCCAGACCGCCAGGCCACCTATCGCCGGGACCATTCCCGTCCGCCTAGGCGGCGGCACCGTGGTCGAGGTCCCCGCCGGATCGGCCATCATCGGGCGGAGGTATAAGGTCCGCACCGCATCGGGCCGATGGGTGATCAGATTTCACCCGGACGGCCGTCCCCGAGCGGCCCGGCGCCTAGATAGGCCCCCCTAAGCGCGGGGTGATGTAACGACACCATCGTCGTCACTATATACATATATTTATTGTTCATTCGTTCTATTCGTTCATCGTTCATTTCTTGTTCTATTCGGTTCATATTGTTTATTGTTTGTTCCTATGTTTATAAAATAAAAGGCTTTAACTGTAACAGTTTCCCGCGAGTATATTCCTTACTCGACGCCTCTGGCACCCACTTGCGATTCCGCCTATGGGCTCCCCCACCTAGTCTTACTCCCTCCTCGACGCACGCGAGCGTGGGGGACCCTCGAGCCGTATAAAAGCCGGCTCGCGCAACAGACCGATACCTTATTCCTTTCCAGCTTCCGACCAGTTCCGAACCTCTGGGGATAACCGAGGCATCTAGAATCCTGACCGCTCTTGCCGACGGAGACGGGAGTGACCTCTCTGCCGCTTGGGTTTGCCCGGCATTCGGCCTCCTGACCGTTCCTGCCGACGGAGACGAGTGTGACCTCTCCGCCGCCTGAGTTTGCCCGGCATTCGGCCTCCTGACCGTTCCTGCCGACGGAGACGGGTGTGACCTCTCCGCCGCCTGGGTTTGCCCGGCATTCGGCTTCCTGACCGTTCCCGCCGACGGAGACGGGTGTGACCTCTCCGCCGCCTGGGTTTGCCCGGCACTCGGCTTCCTCACCGCGCACGCCGACGGAGACGGGTCTGACCTCTCCACAGCCTGGGTTTGCCCGGCACTCGGCCTCCGCGCACCGCCGTATTCCGCAATCGCGACACGCTCGCCGACCGAAACCGCGACCGCGATCTAGGCTAAGTTTATTGTAATCGTCCGTAGGTTAAGCTAGAGGAATAGTTACTGGCGTAGAATAAGTTAGGTATAAGCTCCGCGTAAAATAAGTTAGGTATAAGCTCTGCGTAGGTTAAGTTAATCTGGATAAACTATCTACCAATAAAGACCTGTTGATTATCAAAGAGGATTCGTACGCTTGACTCTCCTACCTACTCCCGAATCTTGGCACCGGCGAGCCAGTCCGTGGCGCACGGGATAGGCCGTACACAATCGACGCTACGACGCGAATGATACGCCGATAAAGATTCATCGTACGAACAATGCATATAATACGCTATACTAAATACTTGGTGATGTTGACACAATTTTTGTTGTTCTTCCTCCGTTTTGGCCAGAACGCACTCCAGGTCGGCGTACACGACGAATGGAAGCCACTCTTTCCTGTTGTAATTGTTGAACTCGAGCCACTTGTCCTTGTCGCTCGGCAACCGGATAGCGCAGTCGTTCATCTCCCCGCAGTCGACGGCATGTAACTGCAACTTGACGTCTGAACTAAAATAATGCAGGCATCTGTAAAAGAAAAATTTTTTAATTAAAATTAAAACAATTTTTATATAAATTATTTGATATAATTATTTTATATTAATATATACATACCGGTCGCATATATATCTTTGACCGTTGTATTTGCTCAGTTGCGAGCTTACGAGCCTGGATAAATTTTTTATCCACGCGAAATGTCCGACGCCGTTGCCGTCTTCCACGTATAGCAGATTCACATGCTTATCTCGCTTTTGCTCTGAAAGACGTATCGAGACGATACTGTTCTTGTCTTCGATGCCGTACACGTTGATGGAGATATTGTTTGCGAGTTCAAACTTTTTAATTTGATTTAAAGTTTCTGGAAACTCAATATCTAGGAGATTCAGCACTGTCGCGTAATGCGGGTACGATGATTCTCGTTCCACCTTTCTTTCTACGGGATATAGAGCGGCGACTACTGCCCACGCGAAACACGCATTGTTTTTAGACTGTACGTTAACCACCGCTCTTTTCATCATAATCTCCCGCGACAATTTAATGTGGCATCCCGCGCGCATTGGATTATATTTATTTACATTAACAGTCAAATTCTGTATTCGCGACAATGCCCAGCCACTATCGCGTTCCTGAAACTCTTCCAGAGACGCTAAAGTGGGCTCGATAACGCGACGCTCGAACCACTCGCGTAAATCCGATGTGCGAAAGAGTTCACAGTTTCTCGTATTTATACTTTTATTCGCGCGCTTATCACCCGACAAATTCACCGTTGAATATAATATTTACTTTTACACTGTTGTGTCTTTTTAGAACGTCTTGCACTTGCTCGAGCACGATGTCTTCGGCATCCTCGAGAAATTGACGAGGTTCGATATAGTTTGCGTTAATCACGGCACCGGTCAGAATACGGCTGTCGAACGCGGTATCGATCTCTCGCCAAACGAGTCTTTCCGCGTTATTGTCACCGCTGTAATCACCACCACTGGGAATAAACCGTCTTTGCAATCGAGTCTTCGCACTTTCTAGTCGCGCGATTTTAGTCACCAGAGATTGTCTATTTCCGATCGAGAGCCGCGGACGCTTGACACGACTGCGTTCTTCGAGCTCTTTGATCAATTCCTCGCAACGCTGCAGCCACGCGAAATACTCGCCCAAGGTGGCAATTTGGTGAGATCCCTCCACCAGATCGCGTTCGGTCTGCTCGATGTTTTCCATTTTCCTATCTTTTTCGCACTCACACTTTTAAAACACTATGTCACAGTTTTCTACGGATGACTTTTGCACGCGATAAACAATACCGTTCGCTATCTTGAACGTGAAATAGGCGCAAAAATCTTTCTAACGGAACACCGCTATACTTTTTTTTTTACTGCCGACGCTCGATGGGCGTTCAAATCACATACTATGATGATTTGATGCGCTTCAATCCTTCTTATATGAATGAGAAAACAAAGCAGCCAAACATCGGCGCTGATACGTTAAAAATTCTTCCGATAAAAAATCATGAAAGACGATTCTAAGAGGTGCCGTTTGTTTATATTGTTTATAAATTTACGTGCTGTGTAATTCAATGAGAGAGATAAGGATACGTCGAACGAAAAAATCTAGAATTACTTATATCGGGAGTGAGGGGTGTACCGCGAAAGTGTTGATATACGAGCGGTGGAAACATGGGTACAAAGCAGCCAAACATCGGCGCTGATACGTTAAAAATTCTTTCGAGAAAAAAATCGTGCAAGATGATTCTGAGGTACTATTTGTTTATATTATTTATCAACAGGGCATGCGATACAATATTTCATATACTTTCTATAAATATATGGGACCGCGCGTACTTTTTACGAGGCGTTTACGACGATATGGCGATAATGTCACATCTCTATTATACGATCATAATCTCAATTCAAAAAATGCTGATGTTTATATTATTTATAAACCGAACATGTCCGCACGCAATACTGTTTATCAGCCGGGCATGTAATATAATATTGCCGTAAAACATCTAACACGCGCCGCCGCCGAAATCCCTCCGTCCCGCGTGACGTCATTCCCCCGCGCCGCCGTAATCCCCTGCGCGCCTCACCCCCCCCCCTGAGAGGACCTGGATTAGAACTCTCCTATATATCCTACTGAGCGCTCTAATTATTGCAAGAACTTCTAGCTCGTAACTCGAATATCTCTCTTCCTGACGTCGTTTTGCCGTTCGCATAGTAAATGGGATGCATTCGCTACTTTTGTGAAGCAGAATTGTTCTGTACCCGTACTTGGATGCATCCGTATGCAGCTCCGTTTCCGCATCGATACGATATGAATTCAGAACCGATTGTTCGCATAATATAGTTTTTAATTGTCTAAACGCATTTCTTTCGGCCACATCGAACTGAAACTTAACATTCGCTTTCAAGAGGTTCGACAATGGTCGAGCGATACAGCTGTATTTCGGCACAAATTTACGGAAATATCCACTCAGACCGAGAAAAGGCCCGTACCTGTTTTACGTTCCGCGGTTTCGGAAAACATCTAACAACCTTCGTTTTTCGCTCCGACGGTTGGACGGTGCCATTTTCAATAATGTGCCCTAAAAATTCAACTTTTCTCTGCAAAAGGGAACATTTCTTCCGATTGATTGTCAAAACGGTTTCTAAATTTCTCAACATCATCTTCGTTTTTGGAAAATACGATCAGATCATCCATATAAACTAGCATAATTTTTTCTCTGATTAAATCTCTAAACACTACATTATGAATCTCTGAAAAACTACCGGTGAGTTGCATAAACCGAAAGACACTCGTAAAAATTCATACTGACCGTCAGGAACGACAAACGATGTGTATTTCACGCTCGCCTCAGCCATGCGCACATAGAAAAATCCATTTTTTAAATCGAGTGTGCTAAATAGTCTCGACTCCTGCAGCTGATCCAGCTGGTCTTCAATCAATGCAAGCGGATGCCGATCTTTTATTATCTTTTTATTAAGTAATCGCAAAGTCTGTGGGAACCGTCTTTTTTCTTACAACGGGGCTTGCAAAGTCAGAGGTAGAGGGTCGTATAATGCCCTGCGCTCGCCATTCATCTACCTACGCATTAATAATGTTTTTTTCAGCTTGTGACAAACGCCGCGCCTTTTGATATACTATCCATCATCTCTTAAAATAATAGTCATTTTAATATCGGTGTCGGTAATCTTAATCTAAGCTACAAAAATATGCAATGAAAAATAGTAGGTTCCATTTAAGAAATTTAAGGTGATCTTTACGTGACCTTGATAACGCTATTCAAGGTCATATTAATATTACTATGTAATGCGTTACTCGAAACCCTACAACTTTTGTAGGAAACATTTTTGTCTGCCGTTCTCGGTTTTTGAGATTTTCGGCTGGCACGGGTGGTCTGATACACCTTATATGTCGGAGTAGACGATCGCAACGGCGTACTCATTTCGTTATCGCTCCAAATGATCCGACAATTGATCGTTTCAACGCTCGATTTACGACTAACACGTTTGTTCGCCAAAATGCCCTTTTAGAGAGAATAATACTCAGATAAACAA